CCCCCCCCCCCCCCCCTCTATGGACAAATAGTCGATTGACCAGACGAGTTGACTATTCTCTTAGAAACAACGAGGCTGAGCTGTTGTCAAATTTTTTTTACCATAAACCAAATAAAACCCCTGAATTTTTAACTTGGTTTTTATGTAAAATGATAACTTTTTAACGAAATGAGCGTTTAAATGCCTTCCTTTGGCGATATTTCAACTCGGCCTTGTTTACAACTACTCAGTGTTGCGAAATGCCAAGAATGACTTGAAAATTAGTTAGTCTATACTTGTGAGTTTAGAAAGAGTTAAAACACATGTCGTAAGTAATGTAGTAGTAAGGGATCGTTATACAAGCAAGGTTTAAATAATTAAAAGAAGGAAATGAGGCTTAAAAAGTCCAAAATTTCAAACACAAAATGGCTTCCCGAACTGTTACTAAATAAAGTTTAGGCCTACGTGAAAAAGTCGAATAAAAATGCACGCAAAAGAATTTCGAATGGCTTTAAAATCTTTAAAATATCTGAAAAAATAAAGAGGCAAACCATTTCTATCTTTTAGTTTACATAGACAAAAGTGTATAGGTTAAAATTAAATCGAAAAACATCATTAAAAAGGCTCAAAAAAGGCGAAAACAGACTCGGCCAAAATCTCGACGTTTAAACAAAAAATAACTATTTAATTAAAAAATGATAGCTAAATACATGAACACTCTTAAAAATAGGTGTGTTGCAAAACACACAAAAATGTGTTATATAGCACGTTAAATTAAGTGTGTTATACAACACATTTTACTCTTGAGATTTCGACATAACACACCTTTGTGAGTTAAATAACACACACATGTGGGTTATATAACACACAGTGTACAGTGCTTAACACACAGCGATGGAGGTAAATGTGTTAGACAACACACATTCAGAAAAACACACCTTTTCTACCGTGTTTGTTAGCACACCCTTCCTATGAAACGTGTGTTAATTAACCCAAGTTTAAAGATAAACACACTTAAATAGAAAAACACACTGCACAGAATAAACACACTTAACCAACAAACACACTTTCCAAAACACACATCTTAAACTAACACACTTTTATAAAACACGCTTTATAGTGGCATGCCTGATCGCAGGCTATAGGGCTCGCGCGATTACAGGTATCGGCTGGCAAATTAATTTCCAAATTGGTAAACATTTAGAGATTTATAAATTAATTCGAGTATTTAAAGCCCGTGGTCAAGTCCGTAATGTAAACAAATACTTTGTTTACATTTTGAACTGCTACATTTGTAAAATAAGACTAACACTTTTCTGGTTCGCAATTGTAAATGAATATAAACTAGAGTACATTTCAATTCAAAAAAGTTCCAAAGTCAAGATGCAAAAATTGGGCAATTTTATATCTGTGGAGTGTGGGTCCCCTTTGTTATGAGCAGAACGGACTTCATATGGTCTTTACATGTAACTGCTGAAACAATAAAATATTATTTACTGGCTGATTAACCATTTCACAAAGGAAACATTTGAATTCACAAGTGTTCACTGGATAGTATAACAGAAATAGTTCCCATGTGTCATGTGTGTCATATAGATTGGAAACTGGAAAGTTAAAAGTATGCGAGCAGCACAAGCAATCAAAATTCGACCTCAAAATATTGCATTTCAAATTTTATAACATAACACAGTAAGACACCATGAAGCCGAAATATTTGAATATTCGCGCGCCGCATGATCGAGCTTTCGAATTTTCAACCAATGAGGATACAGTAGTGCCGCCGTGAAATCTACATGAAATCTAATACCTTCTTCTTGCAATCGATAGTGGCATTAGCTAGTTTGTGGTCGTTTGTATGGGAATATATGTGCAATTGTGGCATAGAATAAGAAATGAATAGAAAGGCAACTCACGTGTACAACGCGTAACCAATTTTCAGTGCGCACGCGCGGGATTCTCAAGCTCGCATCTGTGCTCGCAGCCAGTAAAGCCAGTCAGTGCAATAGGGATTTGTATTACGAAATGTACATTTTGATCACAAAATCGACTATTTTTCGGAAACAAAGGATTGGAATGTCAAACTACTACAACTGCCTGCAGAGGCAATGTAAGCCTAAATTATTGTTGTGGTTAGCATAGAAAGAAACGAATATTTAGGGAGAAATTTGATATTGTTGTGTGAGCTACAGTCCGAATCTGAATGAAATGCTGACAGTCGATCGCGTATACTGTGTTATTTATTTCGATTTTCAAGGTTTATGTCAAATCTTATCAGTACAGGTTTTGGATTGCATCAAATTTTATTTAAAAAAGTAGTTTCAAAGTCACGAACAATTAATCAAATTTATTTCGTGCGGGAAATTGTCTGTCTGTGTCTGACATGTTGAACTAGAAATACAAACAATATCAGAAAATGATATGTTATTTATTTATGTAATTAAAATATCATGATTATGAATTAACATTCATTCCTATTATTACAATATTACTTCGAAGACATCGAATTTTTCCAATAAATAAACCAAACTATCAGGGGCGCACATTTAATACATTTTATGGGGGGTTTGGACGGATCCGGGACCGACTTTTGATTCGGGAAAGATCCGGGACAGACTGTTGTTCATAAATCATAACGAAGAATGATACAATGTACCTGGCTACAATGAAACGACTTTTATAAAGTTGTTTATAGGACGCGTACGCTGATATTTAATGCATTTGAAATGGAAATTAGACAGACAATTTTGCGAGATATAACTTTATACGATTAACAATTAGGAAATCTTAGATCAAGCAGTTCCAAAGGCAGTGTTCTATTTGAAGAGTTATTATAAATGCTATTATTATTATTACCACTTAGAACACGTTCTACTATAGGGTCCAATATTCTATTTACCCAAAATGGTGCCAATTTTCGTATTTTTAAACAAATTTGTCCAAAACTGAAAAAACCCAGAAAAATTGGTGCTTAAAAACACCTTTTGTGCAAAAAAAGAATGCAAATTTTCTTCTCTTGCTAAAACAACCAAATTTACCTAAAATTAACAACACATTTTATGGACTGTTCTGAAAAGGATCAAATAATGCAAAAGTAGCATGACAGCTAACAGTGAAAATATGTCGGTTTAACCAAAGGCATCTCTGATCAATTTATATTTGGAAACTATATCAATGTTTCGATTTATCGACACCATGTGAATGGTTCAGTTTATCGAGACCATGCGAAATGTGAATGTTTCGAGTTATCGAGACCAAGTCAATGTTTCGATTTATTGAGACCATGTGAATGTTTCGATTTATCGAGACCATGTGAATATTTCGATTTATCGAGACCAAGTCAATGTTTCGATTTATCGAGACTATGCCAATGTTTCGATTTATCGAGACCATGTCAATGTTTCGATTTATCGAAGACAATGTCATGGTTTGATTTATCGAGACCATGTCAATGTTTCGATTTATCGAGACTATGCCAAATGTTTCGATTTATCGAGACCATGTCAATGTTACGATTTATCGAGACCATGTCAATGTTTCGATTTATCGAAACCATCTTAGTGACATCTAACATAACCTAAATCAACACATTTTAGCAAAAAATAATATTCTATTCAATTTAGCATTATACACATACATAAATAGAAAATATATAAAGCACAATGTATTTAGGTGAAAACTATTATGCTCAATATCAAAATGATATATATTTAAATAAATTCACAAATAAACTATTAATAAGACTCAACCCCTTAATGAAATATAACCTTATACAGGGATGGATTTACTGGGGGGTGCACACCCCCCTAGCCCTGGCCAGAGGGGGTGCAGGGTGCTATTTTTTATGATAAAGCAAAAAAGACAAAGTGAGATACAGTAATTTGAGTAATAACATGAGGATAAGTGAACTGTGAACAACAATTACAATTCAAACACAGTACTTAGTTGATGGTCGGGCAGCACACATGACCGACACAACTCGGCAGTCGGCACCAGAGCACCACCTCTCCCCCCCCCCTCCCCCTACCAGATCATGCTGGATCCATCCCTGACCTTATATGCTGTTAGATAGAGTAATAATGAAAGGGCAGTAGGCAAGTAGGGCACATTGAAGTTTTGTACTGTAATGCTCCTCAAAATGTAAGACAGTAAAGCTGGATGAATGTAAAATATCACAGTTACTACCATTTAGACTGCAAATGGTAATGTAAATTAGCTGTGCCGAGCTCTGTGCTTATTACATTACTCTGTCCAGTACAAGGTGACTTTACAGTGTTCTTTTTTTATATAAACAATACTAAAATGTTCTTCAACAATGAGTTCGTCATCTAGCATGTAGTGTCAGTATATATTTTCTTTTCCTTATGCAAGTCAAAGGCTACAAGAAATATACAACCTGGCAAACATCTGCCCAAGGTTCATTTTTATCAGCCAATGAAAAGACCATTTCTTGATGATGATTCCTTTCCGATAATGAATCTTGAATGAAGATCATCTAGCGTCACCAATGAATGGTTTGTTACATATAGCCCTCGTCAACA